GGTGGAGGGTCAGAGAAAAAGAGGAAGACCTCTAACGAGATGGATCGGCCAGGTGGCATCATTGATGGACTCAAGTGTGGCAGCGGTAGTGAGGTTGGCCCAGGATCGGGCATTGTTTCGATCTGCTGTGCATGGGGTCGCTATGAGTCGGTTCTGACTCGATGGCACCTGACAACAACAACAACAACAGCATATGGTTAGACAGCTTTATTTTTGTTTTTTAGTCTCCTTTAAGAGCTTCTGTAGTTCTGGGGTTTGGGAGGAAGAAGATAAGGAAAGATTTCTTGGGTGGTGTAAATGGTCAAGTACCAGGTTTTCAACCCATTCAGAGGCACCTCACTAAGAAAGATCTGGTGATCTCTTTTCCAAATTCAGCCTTTTAAAACCATATGGAGTACAGTTGTACTCAGAAACTCTAGGAGTTGCCCTGAATCATAATTGGCTTGGCAACTGTTTGTTTGGGTAAGATGAGGAAGAGTGAAGACATGGTAAGAGTTCACCTTCAAACCTCTAAGGACAGAATTAAAATCAAAATAGAAGCAATTGACTACAAATGCTTAAGTGAATGAAGACTTGTCTTCAGAAGGATCACAGGAGAGTTTATGCTACAAAGAAAGCAAAAAAAAGCAACAGGAGAAATCTGCCTCAAGTGAAAAATGTTAAAATTTTTCAATTCCTGTTCATTTTGGGGGGTTTGTTGTTATTGTTAAGTACCATCGAGTCGGTTCTGACCCATAGCAACCCTGTAGAGGGTTTCCAAGGAGCGACTGGTGAGCTTGATTTGAACCACGGACCTTGAAGTTCAAATGGTTTTGTAGTCTGGCACATTAACCCACAGAACCACACCAGGACTGCATATTCAGACTCTCTAGGTGTCACTTGGAGTCCTAGCATGGCTCTTTGGCATAATGCACCAGACCAGACCAACTCACCAACCACTCATCAGAAACCCTACACAGGGTTTGGACTGATGTGACAGCATTTAACAACAACAACAAGGTGTCACTTAGGGTCTTTTATCATAGTGTGCTGCTTAGTAAATAGCACTCTGATGGCTTCAGACGGTGGCGAGAGCAGTGGGAACAGGTATTTACCCAAATTGAAATGGATTGTTTAGCAGTTATTCAATTAATTTATGCAATGTGTTCTGTCAATCTAGATAAATTGAAGAAATATGTGCTTTTTTCTCCTCATCGTCAGGATAAGATAGATCTGAAGTGTCTGAGATAATTGCTCAACTCTCTCCTTCAAGTTGACCTCTCCAGACTTAGCCTAATTTTCCCTTTAGTGAACAAATTAATTTTTTCTCACTTTCCCTGACAAACTTTTGTTTTTAAAGTTTAAATTCTAGATGTGACTCTGTTGTACTTTCTATTTTAACCTTTTGCTTCTGATAAATATGTGTGCATATATGATCTTCCATCTTGTTACTCTTACATAATGTATACATTATCTTTTATTAATAAGAGGAATCATGCTTCACATGTATTTCCTATAAAGCCTTTAAAAAATTTAAATATGCAGAGAGGGATTAAAGAAATCCTTGATACTTGTTTTTCAGATGGCAGCTGAACGGAAGTGACATTGATCTGAGTTTGGATTTTCGTTATCAGTTGAACGGAGGAAATCTTGTGATTATTAACGCCAACCGAAATCGGGATATAGGAAGCTACCAGTGTTTTGCAACAAATTCGCTTGGAACAGTCATCAGCAGAGAAGCAAAACTCCAGTTTGCATGTAAGTTTATGGTCCCACATCTTGCAAGACCAACATTTAAAACTCTACGACTTGATTTGTGTGTCCATTTTGTGTTTCAGAAATAGTCCGTGAATTTTATTAACTCAATAAATAGGTTCAAAACAACACAAAACAATTCAGTAGATTTTTTACTTTGGTATACGTGTGTGTGTTTTGTTTTATGATTTTATAACGATTCTGTTTAGGGGAAGAAAAGGAAGCCATTTATTAAGTAGCTCCTGTGATTTTTCACTATGTTAGAACTGAAAGGAATTTGAAGGACTTGTCAGATGTGGTCCTTGTCCTTGTCCTTGGAAAATATCCTAATTAGAGGATTAGAGAATTTCATCTGAAAATTTGAGTAATCTAGACAAACAGGAAAAACTGGAAGTCATTTAACAAGTTGTTGACCTCCTTTAAGACTTTCCCTGACTTGCTGAGACCATTAGTACCACTCCACACTTACTAAAGGCTGGGACTTAGAAGTCATGTGTGTATTCTGCTAATTGAACATAGGTGAACACTGACCCAACTTGAGAAAGTCTTACTCTTTTGCAGGAAATTTGCAAATGGAACCAGAAGACCCTGTTAGTTATTATTTTCCTCATACACCTTGGCCTAGTTTCAACTCTTGTTTTCTTTCTATTGTGTCTAAATATATTTTAGTTGCTTGTTTTGTATATCATGGTTACCTCAATTCTAAGATTTTAATTTTTTTTTTTATTTACACCTTAGTATTTCTGAAATTAAGGAGCTCTGGTAGTATAGTGGTTATAAATTAGGCTGCTAATCTCAAAGTCAGCAGTTGGAAACTACCAGCTGCTCCGTGGGAGAAAGATGAGACATTCTGCTCCCATGAAGATTTACAGCCTCAGAAATCCTATGCAGGGTCGCTATGAGTCGGAACCGACTCCATGGCACACTACCACCACCACCATTTCTGAAATTAGAATGTGTGCATTTAATAAATCTGCTCATCCCCAAAAATGATTTAACTGATGCCAACTAAAATAACTCTGACTGTAAGAATTAGCTTGAAGTTGGTTCCTATAAGGGAAAGTCAAATATTACTTCACTTCTCTAACTTCTCCATCACTTATGACACCAGTCTTTGTCCCAGACACTCTTTGTCTATTGGGTTCAATAATTCATTACAAGGATCACAGTGAACATCATGGAGACACCAATCTACAATAACAACTGCAACGGAGGAAACAAACAGAAAAAAGGATACCAGGGGTATCAAAAAGTTCATGGGAAAATGGAATTCAAAGATAATGAGATTTTTCCATGAATTTTCTGAAGCCCCGTGGCATATATTTGTACAAGGTGAAGGAGAGGGGATTCTGGGTGGGTGGGTGGGTATCTACATCTCAAAAGATAACTGTGTCTATCTCAGAGGAGATATACTGATGCTTCTTCAAAATCAACGTCTATTCTGTCCCATGAGAAAATTTTCAAATAGGAAATTGTATGATGTTGCTTGGTGAGTTTGGTTATCAGCACCTGCTCTCAAATGTCTCCTAGCACCTCCTAGCCAGATTCAGGACATGATCCCTGTGTAGGGCAGGCTTTGCTAGGCTGGTGGCGCCCCTATTTGTGGTGAACCTCAGCTCTCAGAATGTCACAGGTGTCAACCCAAACTCAGTGTGCTCTCTGCAGCCACTTTCTGGATCCACTTCTAGTCTCCACTTCTTGTAGTGTGGTATCTGCTGCATCCGTCATTGTAGAAGGTTCCCTCAGTCTAGGAGGGTCATAGTCAGGGCCTGGTTTCCAAATGATTCTCCTCTAGATGCTCTTTGACCAGGAAGTCCCATTAGAACCTCTGTGTTCAAAATTTGTAATCAGTCATTGGTCAGGACCCTCAGCCAATCTCTGTAAAGGTCAAACTGTACTAGGCCCCTTAGCCAATACTGATAAAGGTCAAATACTGAGGGGCACCCTACAACCTATTCATTGTATAAAGTTCAGTTACTGCTTGGGATTCCCATCCAATCTGAATAAAGATCAGTGTAGATGGAACCAAGATCAAAAGGTTATTTCTTTCCTAGGCAGTTCCACTCCACACAGATGGCTTTTAATGCATAGCTTTTCAATTCCTTTTTAAATTCATAATGATCATCATTGATCACACTCCTGCTGGTTTACTTGTTTTTTCTTTCTTTCTTGCCCTTTCCTTTGTTTTCTGTACCTATATCTATATACCTTTATGCCGGGGTCTGACCTCGACATAGTTGTCACGCGTGTTTGGTTCACGAGGAGGGGAGATCCAGCGGCGA